TGCTGTGAGGATGGTGCCCAGTGAATCACCTGCAGAGGGAGCAGGGCTCCATGGGGGACACTGCTGTCACCATGGCTGCAGCTGGGATCAACTATACCCCCCCGTCCTGCCTCAAAGCTCATTCCCTTCCCCTCTGTGATACTGTGATACATACACAGGTCTGTATATATGCATGCATGCATGCACAAGTGTTCACATGTACACTTAGGAGCTTCATAAAGTTCATGGAAAATCCATCTTTTCTCTTAATTCCATTGATCCCAGATATGCATGTGTGTGTGTGTGAAAGGGAGAGAGGATGTTCACGTTTGTGGTGTATATAAAATCTCCCTCATTACTGGCACAGAGCTTTTAAAACTCCCAGAATTCCCAGAATAATAGGATTTTCTTTTGTCATTTGTAATGTCTTTTCAACTGTACTTGAGTTTATGTCAATGAGGTGACACTGGGCTGGCCCCCCTGCATGAACCAGGTGGGTTACCAGAAAGACCAGTCTATGAATAGAAAGTGGGAACGGGAGATGGGCTGGGGCTGTCTGTCACGTGGCCATGATGTGTTCCATCACGCCTAATGAAGTGGAACAGCAATAACCTTTTCAGCCAGGTTGGAGAGCTTTCTGGTTGGCAAATGTGGCATCCACCTGCCAGGTGGGTGGGTAAGAGGCACAGGGGGCCGGGCCAAACCTTGCCCTGTGTACCACTTCCCCTGATGTTCATCTGTCTTCTTCATAAATAAATCAGCCCTCGTAAGAACAGTGCTTCCTGAGTTCTAGGAGTCACTTGATCACATTACTGAGCTCACGGGATCACGGAAAGCTCCAACTGGTCAGGTGTGCAACAGATGCAAAACTTGAGATTGGCATCTCACGTGGGGGCAGCCTCGCGAGCTCTGAGGCTAACCCCAGCCAGTGTGAGGAGTGAACGGAATCAGATGCTGAGACGCCTGGCTTCCAGGTGTCAAAAGACTGACTATCGGCATGGGTGAACCCTCGTGCATCTGGTGTCCGAGTGTTCTCAGGGGAGGAAATAATCTCAGCGATTTTTTTCTCCACACAGCCCAAGAGAGCTGGTCACTCCCCTTCTCCATGGCTCCCTGACCCCCTCTGCATAGCCTGGACTCCCTCCTGCTCATGCCACCCTTCCCTGGAGCCCACACAATGCTCCACACACACAGCCCCGCACCTGGGGCTCCCTTGTCTCCAGAATCCCTAGCACAAACGGGAGGCTCTGTTGCTCCCTCAAGGCTTGGCTCCAAAGAAGCTTTTCTTCTGGAGTCCACCTCCTGCCAGACAAAGCTGGCGACATCTCTGCCTGGTGTCACACAAGGCAGCACAGTGTCAGCCTGCACAGCTGCACCCTCGCCAGCTCACGGAACAGGATGAGCGATGGCCGTGCAGCAGTAGCAGTGGTGCTGTGTACCAGGCTCTGTGCTACACTCTGTGTGCAGGTGACCTAATTCCATCCTCCCTGTAATTCCCTTCACACATGGGAAACCAGCCACTGAGAGGGGAAATGTCCCCCTACCCAAAGGCAGAGAGCCAGTCAGCCGATCCCTGCAGTCCAGGCAGAAGTCGACTCTAACCACCACTCTCCATGCAATCCATGGCACAGGACACACACACGCACACGGCTCTGTGCAATCAATGAACAGACACATGGAGTCCAAGCTCATTGTGCAGAGGAGCCAGCAACCTCAGGGAGGGACACTGAGTGTTCCAGCGCCAAGTCACTTCCTTGTCTTCGTAATTCATTTGTTCATCCACTCCTTCCAGCATTTACTCAGAGCTAACCAGGTGCCAGGAGCCCTTCCAAGCAGTGGAGGTTCAAGAGTGAACCAAACACCTCCCTAGCCTTCTTGCTCCGGAAGCAAAGGGGTTGCCACTGACATGGCAGGAATGTTGGCTGAAATGAATCAGAACTCTATGGAGCAGTTCCCAGGGAAACAGCAATCCTTTGTGGCCATGAAGACTAAAGGGGCATGGGCATGTGGCACAGTCCCTGGGCACACGTGGCAGCAGCATCTACTTTATGATGAAGGAGATGACTAGTCAGACCCAGGAAGATTGCACCAAATACAATGGTGAGCTTGTTTTGCATGCAGCGCCCCGTGCCAGGCCCCATGCGCATACTTCATAGCCTGCCGTCTCCAGTTCCACTTCCTGAGGTTGTGGCCTCATGCTGCGGAGCAGCCTATGAGTGGCCTAATCCTGTTCTGCCAGAGCTGTGACTCATCCTTGGTGAGCCCAGCCTGCCTTCTTCATCCACTGACCACAATCCAATCACTGGTTTTATAGAATGTTTCTATCAATTAAATGAGGCAATGCACACAGAACAGCATACAGGCAACTAGCAAGTGCACCATGCTCACTGGTTGAGAAAAAAGGAACACTGTTAACAACCAAGTTATTTTTACAGATAGGAACGTTAAGGTTCATAAAGGTTAAGCTTGTCTAGAGGCACACAGTAGGCATGGAATTCAAAGCTGGGTCTTTGTTGGCGGCAGTGTTGATTGTCTTTGCAACATGTCAGGATTCCCACCAGTCCCACTATCAAGCAGCAAACACGAGCAGGCCTCCCCACCCAATGGACTGTGGTGTGGGAGGAAACCCAGGCTGTGGACATGGAGCTCTAGAAGGCAGAGGTCTTGCTGGGTGTGAGTAGCCATTCTCCACTGGTGCCAGGTGACCATGACCAGGTGCACTGGCAACACAACCTCGGGGGTGCAGGCAGGTTAAAGGGGACGTGAGTGACAAGCATCCCAACAGCACGTGGCTGAGACTCTGCTGAGGAAGGAGGTGGTGCCAGCACTGCTGCTGAGACTGTCTGTGTTCTGGAAGCCTGAGCACGGTAGTGGGTTACCAACAAGCAGAACCACAGGCCACGCCTCCTCTGCCTCCTTGCGTCTCCCAACTGGCTCACAGGAAAGGGAGTAAGAGCATTGACAGATAGTTGCTAATCAGCTCTGCAGCTGGACTTGTGAGTTGCAAAGATGACTTGGAGAGCTGTTCATGATTTTTCAAAGGCCAAAACTGAGTTTCTGATAATTCACAGACGCAAGCCATTTTCCCTTGGAATGCTGAGCTGCACCCCCACAGGCCCATGGCTCTGGCCAAGCTCTGGGGAGATGGGGCCTGAGACATCCTGGAGAAGGAGAGGCCAAATCCATAGAGCTTACCCCACGGGCTGAGCCATTCAAGACCTTTTTATGAGCCCCTCTGAACCCTGCACAGTAACACCAAAGAATCTGAGGCCCTAACGGCAGAGTTGGTTATCCATGGACAAGAGACTGAGAAGAATGATGCAGCACCAGGATATGAACCAGGCCTGCATGGCTGCAAAGTATCTGAGCCTTTCCCAAAACAGTGGAGAATAGCAATGGTCAGGAGCCTGGTGGCCGCCTGTCTGCTTAGCCATCCATCTGTCCAATGGCCTTGCTAGGTCAGGCCTGGAGAGCATCCAGGGGCTGGCATCAAGGTCCTTCCAGGCCCTACTGACCCATGCATGCTCTAGTGTTGCTCCCTCGCTGCCTGTCCATCCCTGCACTTAACCTGTGTGTGATATCCCTGTCGCTCCCCGTCTTCGTGGAGGAAAGACACAGGACCCTGCGCTGTTCTTTTGCCTGCTCGGCCCTCCCCGGGTTTGCTGCTGGTTCTTCCCGGGTTGGCTGCCGTCCCTCCACCTCCGTGGAAGGGCGGTTCCCCCTGGCCACCTTCCCCACTTCCGCAGGGGAGCGGCACACCGCCGGCCGGCTCTCTCGGGGGCTGCACAGGTGTTCCTTCAGATAGATGTTCCTGGTGCATGTTGTCTCTCTCCTCCTTTATAGTCCTCTTCCACCAATCCCAACTCTGCTACCCACACGCCGAGTACGCTGCTCTCCTCCAATCAGGAGTAGGTCCTACAGTTTATTGGTTGAACTGGAGGCAGCTGTGTAGAAGCTGTTTCTCCCTTCTCAGCGCCATATTGTGGGAGAGCAGATGCATAGAATAAGTCTTAATTCCAGTAACTTAGTCTAGTCCGAGTTGCTCCCCACAATCCCCACCAGCAAGTCCTGCCCATTCTTCCAGACTTGTGGCAAATGGCTCAGCCCCACAGACCCGTCCCTAATGCCTGCTGTTCTGAGTGCCCAGCACCCCACGTCTCTGCATCCTGCTTTGTCACGGGGAACTGCTGTATCCAATGGGGCAGTTAGCTTTTCTAACTTGATAATGAAGTTGAAGGAGGGGTCCTCTACCCTGGCTGCAGGTAATACTGGTCTGGGAGCTCCAGATGAAAGCACCAGTCCCTGAGCTCCAACCCCAGATATTCTGGTCAGCCAGTGTGGGTGTCCAGGCCCCAGGCAAATGTGTCTAAGTCTCCAGGATAATTCCCTTGGGCAGTGAGGGCTGAGAAACACTGGTTTAAAAGGCAGAGGTGTCTGCTGGCTATGAGATTCTGAGTCCTGCTTCTATCATTGATTGGCTGTGTCACTGACCCCAAGACACCAGACTTCTTTCCAACCTCAGTTTGCCTCTTGATGTAAGGATGAGAGTGTGCACCCAGACTGTCCAACACAGTGGGATGTGCCAGGACTCCAGAGGATGTAGGTTTCAGCAGTATGCACTGGTCAAACATTTGAACCTATGAACCTATGATTGAATCTACCCTCCCTGCTACACCCGAGGCCACCTGGGCACAGGTGCAGGGTGCTGCCACCCACAGTGAGGAGCTCATAGTCAGTGGTTTATAAATGTTTCTTCAGTGCATGGATAATGGACAAATAAATAAAGGAAGTATATGTTCCAAGGTAACAGAAGTTTGATAATGCATTTAGGTTTTCAAACATACCCAGCAGAGAACAATGTACACTAATAGACACCTACTGAGATGTAACAACACTTCTTCAGTGTGAGATCTTGGGTGAGGTTCCAGTCTTGTCTTTTTACCCCTGATTTGTACGGCAGCAAGCAGTCTGCTTGGCATCACTACCACTATGCATTCAGAACTCGGCCCATGCTTTCTTACCTGCAGCTCTGAGCACAACTGGGAGAGTGTTTCTTCCACAGCAAGGGCCTCTAGGGAGAAATAAAACACAATACCATGCCAAATGAGTGCACAGTGAAATGAAGGAGTGGCTAATTAATAACACCTAGGTTTCAAGTTAGCATTAAAGTCACATGTCGCTCCTCCTCGGGCTCGCGGGAGAACGACACCGGACCGGACGCTGTTGTTTAAGCAAATGACTCTGCGTTGTGCGCTCAAGCCCGCTCCTGTGCTAACCGCATTCTAACCGCATTCCACTTGGTGTGTGTCTGCATTCTTGTTATTCTTTCGGCACGTGGTATGAGGTGTCTGTGGCACCTCGCGGCGCATAAGCGATTCCCCCCCACCGCTCAGCTTCTATCTCGCCTTTATCGTCCTCTCCAACCAATCCGTGCTCTGCTGCCCGCGTGCTGAGCACGCCACTTTCTTCCAATCAGAGGTTGGGTCAGCTCCTGTAGCTCGTTAGTCAAATTGATGAAGCAGCCAAAGCCGCTGTATAGAACTTGTTTACTCCCTCTCAGCGCCATGTTGTGGGGGCCGGGCCCTGCTTCTCACAGTAACAGAGACAAATACATTTGCTGAGGACTCTCCTTATCTCTATTCTGACTGCCTAAAGGGACCATGCTTAGAGAATACATGTAATTTGAAGCCATACCTTGGGTACTAGATAAAGGCTAACACTGTCTCATGAATGCGTTTTTGAGAAACAGTAGATCCCTACATCAACCCTGCACTTTTTGTGCCCAAAGTGCGTCCATGTTTATTTGTGCTTTCATTGGTACACCCAGATATACACACACACAGATACACCCGGGCCACAGTTACAGGCTATGGATTTGTGTCTCCATCGTAGAGATGAAAACCAGAAACCCTGGGAAGTACAGTGGCAGGGCTGAGCCTCCTACAAGGTCCATTGATTCCAACACTAATGAACATCATAACTTTCCATGCCACCAACAGTGCAACCTGTGACTGCACTATCTTCACAGCAGGAACCAGTACCCTGTGATTTAATAGTCATCGTCCTGCCCACATTTAAACTTTCCCTAGTTCCGTGATGCTGAGGTTGGTTGACTGCACAAGGCTGTGGTATGAGGGTTTTTTTTTTCTAGATTTATTTATTTATTTGAAAGTCAGTGTTACAGAAAGAGAGGGAGAGGCAGAGAGAGAGACACAGAGAGAGAGAGAGAGAGACAGAGCTCTTCCATCTACTGGTTCACTTCTCAGATAACTGTAAGAACCAGGGTTTAGTCAGGCTGACACCAAGAGCCAGGAGCCAGAAGCTGCATCTGGGTCTCCCACATGTCTGGCAGGGGCCCACACAGTTGGGTCATTTCCCATTGCTTTTCACAGGCCACTAGCAGGGAGTTGGACCAGAAGGAGAGCAGTTGGAACATGAACAGTCACCCATACAGGATGCCAGAATCACAGGCAGACGCTTCACCTGCTGAACCATAACACTGGCCCCTGTGGTAGGAGATTTAATGAGAGCATTGTTTTCCAAGTGCAGATGCGCAATCTTGTACACCATAGGGTCCTAGCTGATGACCTTATTAGCATGTACCTCCTCTCTGGACTGCTGACCTCAGGTACGGAAACCTCACGAGACCCAACAGACTTTTGTTATAGTCAGCGTGGCTGTGTCCTCAGCATCTAGTACAATGTCTGACTCCATAGTAAATGCTCAATAAAATATGATTCCAAAATATGATGAGTGAGTGAAAACAAATTAATTCAGTTCCTTTGGGTATTTTATATATGGAGAGAGAGAGAGAGAGAGAGAGAGATCCTAAACAACCTTCATTACACCTTGAGTAATTTAAAGGGGTTCTGATTAAGTGCCTGTCTTGGGGTTTTCTTCTCTTGGAAGCCACCCTCCATGCCACTCTGGCTGGAGGTCCTTGATTCTTTTTTTATTTTTTAAGATTTATTTTATTTATTTGAAAGAGTTACAGAAAGAGGTAGAGATAGAGAGAAAGGTCTTCCATCCGCTGGTTCACTCCCCAGATGGCCGGAGCTGCACTGATCCAAAGCCTGAAGCCAGGAGCTTCTTCAGGGTCTCCCACATGGGTGCAGGGGCCCAAGCACTTGGGCCATCTTCCACTGCTATCCCATGCAATAGCAGAGAGCTGGATTGGAAGAGGAGTAGCTGAGACTAGAACCGGTGCCCATATGGGATGCCAGCACTTCAGGCCAGGGCTTTAACCCGCTGCACTGCAGTGCCAGCCCCTGGAGGTCCTTGATTCTAATAAATACTTTTAAATCTCTTTGCTGTCCACTCGGAAATTCTTCTTCCATGTGAGACAAAGAACTGAGGTAACAATAATTTCTCTGCTGCCGCTTTCCCATAACATTTTTTGGTGCCATGACTTGGACTGCAACTCCAACGTGATGTGGATCCAACGTCATCATCCCGTCAGACTGGTGACAATTGCCCCCAATTTGCCGGAGGGTTTCTAGGCAAGAATCTAGGCCCAGTAATTTCAGATGCTATTGAATGCATATGAATTAATCCACATGATGACTTCTTAAGATACCTCCGGACCTGACTCCTCATCCTTGAGACTGGTTTGAGTGACAGCCTCTCTGTTAGACATGTCCAGTATTGGCTCTTGGTTTTACAGTATAAGGTTGTTGTCTCTTTGCAGGGTCTCCAGTTTTTCTCTACCCTGCCCCTCCGTGGGCTCCTACAGGAGCCTCCTTGTAGTCACTGCCCTATCACCTATCAGATTCTCCTTAGAAATCTGGATGTTTTTTCTTCTTAAAACCTAACAATAGTGAGCAATCTCCAGTGGGCTTCCTGTCCCTGGCGCATGGGTCCCTAGCCTACAGTAACCCTTGAGACCCATCTCACAGCTGCTAACCTTTTGTTTCAGAGGCAATCCCAAGTAGCTGATGCTGACTAGGCATCAGTGGCCTAAGGGATTTTTTCTTTGAGTAAAAGGAAAACTAGAATCTAAAATGACATCTTTGGTAAATAGCATTTGATATAAATGTAACTTTGGCCTTAATTCAGATAGAGGTATGATATAATGTCAGGATCTTCAGTCATCTAGGTGTAATCGCTAAATGTAAATCGGGTAAAGCAAATGAGATAAATGTGTTTAAATGTAAACTTTGGTTAACACCTTATATACTATGGAGAAACTATTTGATTTTGTTTAATAAGTATGTTTTCATAAACTGTATGAAAAATAGTTCAACACTGCTTTTAACTCAGACTGAAATTTGATGTGTTACCTTATTTTAAAAATGTTGTCTTAATTCAGAGATTTTTAACAGGTTATTTCAAAATGTAAATCAAGGAAATTGGCAGATGGAAAACATCACAAGTACAGAAAAAGTGTTCTTGGTAAGGAACGTTAAGAAGGAAAGAGGGTTTTTTTAAACAAAAACAAACAGTTTTTGTTTTTGTGTTTTTTTTTTTTTAATAAAGAATGGACATGGTTTGTAAGAATTACTTATCCTGATGGCTAGTTTACTCTAGACTGGAATGGAAATGATAGGATGTTTCAAGTAAGTTGAGGAAGGTGTGTGGAAGCGCAGAAGGTTATGAAAGAAATAAATTTTTGGATACAAAAGCTGTTAATCTATTTTTCTCTGACATCAAATTAGAATCTGATCTGTTAAAGCAATAAGGTTTTTGCAATTCGTATATGTTAGTAAATATTCTAAAATAATGTTAAAAATCAGTTTTAAAAAAAAAAAAACTGTAGCATCTCCTTTTAATAGTTTTGTATAATTGGTGACTCTGTCCGTTTTCTAACTAGCTCCAGTAAGCTATTTTCTCTTCCCTAGTTCTGACTCTGTTAAAATTGTTGCAAGTTATGGGATAATTCCGTGTGCTGACTAATTTAAATTTTATTCACTTAATTCTTAGGATAACCAAAGACAGATCTTGAGTTCTGCTGAAGTTATCAGTTGTGTTCTCTTAATGTCTCTGTTAAATTCTAGTTGCTTAAAAACAAAACAGCTGAATCTTTTATGAAGAGCTATGGGTTGTTTAAATATGTGCTTATTTTAAAGCATTTGAGTAATCATTTTGTATCAATGACCAAATTTGGTCCATATTATGTCATTATGATAATGTAAAATGCTACTGATACAAATGTCAAACTCTAATGATCATGTGTTGTTATCAGACATGATGATTATCTTAATGAAAAAGGCCCAATGTTTGATAAAATCTTACGGGTGCTTTCAAAAATACTGTGTGGAATAGCGAGTACCTATTCTTGTTGGTTACTGAGTTTATAATTTTAAACATGGCTATTTACAGCCTTTGTCATCCACAGTTCTGTATTCTCCAAACCTTAAAAATCAGATTCACTGCTCATGAAGTTCAAACGTCGTTGGTTCTGTGTTTAAATGTGTCCTTTCAGATTCCAAAGGACCTGTTTTTCCCTGACCGCTATTGTGCTCAATGCTCTGGCACAGTTCTGCTAGCAGATAGAGGCAATAATGTTTTACAGGTTCCAACTTAGATGTGGTTAATTCAGATTACTAAGGGCAGAAGGAAATTCTAATTGGTTGATGGTAATAAAAAAGAACAGCTAAAGATTTTAGAAAACTGTTACTGAAGCTGCTCTTTTGCTCTATCTTGTATGTTAAGCTACACATGTGCACATATTGTATGTCTACATGAGAAAATTTAAGAGTTCTGTTTTCATTGGCTTATAGATAAAATATCATTCTTAAATTCAAACTGGCTGGAGGCCCTATATTCTAATAAATACTTTTAAATCTCCAAATAAAAAGTGCCTGTCTTTATTGCACTGCATGACTGGAGCCTTAAAAAGCTGCAGTGTTGCATGGCTGAAGGAGAGCTGAGGAGCAGAGGACGTGGTCGGGACTCCAGAGCTGCTGAGGGTGGCGGGGAAGATGGCTCCAGAGCTCAGTGCACCACTGCTAACACTGCCCTGCCTCCTTCACTACCCGCCAGCGAGTGTGTATGTGACCTCTGCGGGGACTCTGCTCTCAAAGACCCTAAGTCTAGTGGGGAGGTGAAACATGCAAATGCGTCATTATTATGTGATGTGTTCAGTGCAGGAATAGACACTGTACAGGGCCAGAGACATCAGCAAAACCTGAGTGTCCCAGCTGCTGAGATCTAGGGGTATAGGAAGGGAAGTCCAGGTACCCAGCAGGTGTCCAGTGTTGAAACAGGTGCTAAACTTGAAGACTAGGCTGAGAACCTGGCCTCTGTTGTTACAGGCAAAGGAGGTTCCTTAGTGGACTGAGAACCATAACATATCACCTGTTACAACACAAGAGTAATGTGGCAGAAAGATCCCAGTCCCAAGGGACAAGTGCAGGGTGCCTGAGCTCCCGTCTCAGCTCTGCAACACCTTGCTGTGTGCCCTGAGAATTCCTGTGACCTTTCTAAGCCCCACTTTGCTTTTCTGTGAGGATTTATTTATTTGAAAATCAGAGTTACAGAGATAGAGGGCAACACAGGAAGAGGAGAGAGAGAGAGAGAACTTCCCTCCACTGGTTCACTCTCCCAGATGGCCGCAACAGCCAGGGCTGAGCCAGGCTGAAGCCAGGAGCCAGAAGCTTCATGCTGGTCCCCCATGAAAGTGGTAGCAGCCCAAGCACTTGGGAAATCTGCTGCTGCTTTTCCCAGGCCATTAGGAAGGAGCTGGATCAGAAGTGGAGCAGCCAGGACTTGAACCTGTGGTAGCAGCTTTACCCACTATGCCACAGTGCCAAACCCCAAGCCTCACTTTCATCACTGTCAGTCAAGAGAGATTCAAGCCCAGTGGTCTCCCTGACATGTAATCTATGGAAAATCCATGTGCAATAATCAATCTGTCCCTGGACAACCAAACAGGAGAGATACTTAGAGGTTTCTTCACTCACTCAGAGTAAGCAAATCTATCTATCTATCTATCTATCTATCCATCTATCTATGCATCCATCTCTTTATTAGAGCATTTACAAGCCCTCTTACAAGTAACATTCCGTAATTACACCCCAATTAAGAAAAGTTTATAACAAAAGTGCTCACCCCTCCCAAGTGACTTAATATTTCGTGCCATGTGTTCCAGGTGTAAAATCCGTTCAGCAAATGCTTGATGAATAACTGCAGGATTGAACGACGTGCCTTGAGGCGCCCGTCTCTTCTGACTGCATCTGCACTTCCACAACTCTCTCCTGCTAGGGTGTCAGAGCACAGCAAACCCTGCCTGAACTCAGGGTTGTCACCGTGACACTCACAGAAGCAAGCCAGTCTTTCTGAAGCCAGAGTTCCCAGCAAGAATGACCCGTCCCCATGCCCTTACCCAGCTCCATGTGAGGCAGCTCTGGGATGTCCCTCATGATGGCCAGAAAGTAGAGGCGGAGTCCCCGGTAGGCGTGTAGGAGCAGGAGGCACAGGTCCCGGTGCCACTTGTGTGCATGCTGCATGCAGTTCTCGGAGGGCACGTAGAAGCTCCCCTGTGGGCGTGAGACAGAAAGCACAGCTGAGGAATACCGTGCCTGGCCCAGGCAGCACAGGGCTCCCAGCCTCTGCCGCCCGCCGGTGCCGGCATTCAGGGAAGCAGGCCCGATCTTTAGAAAACCGCAAGTAAAGATTCCAGGAGGAGACATCTGAGACTGAGCCTCCTCTTTATCCCTCCTCCATGTGGGAGAAACATCGATGTCACGCTTCCATCTTACCACGTTCAACTTAAAAAAACAAAAAGCAACACAAGTTACCTATCCCACCTTTCTGGGTGGCTTTTTTGTTTTATCATGAGCAAGCCAGACAGGATAAAGGACTGCAAATCAGGTCTTTTGATGGGTTTTATCCCCACCTTGTAACTGAAGGTCAATCTCATTGTCAAGCTTTTTTTTTTTTCCCCAAAAATTGTGCTTAAAAACCCTACTATAGGCTGGCGCTGCAGCTCACTAGGTTACTCCTCTGCCTGTGGCGCTGGCACCCCAGGTTCTAGTCCCAGTTGGGGCACCGGTTCTGTCTCGGTTGCCCCTCTTCCGGTCCAGCTCTCTGCTGTGGCCGGGAGTGCAATGGAGGATGGCCCAAGTGCTTGGGCCCTGCACCTGCATGGGAGACCAGGAGGAAGCACCTGGCTCCTGGCTTTGGCTCGGTGTAGCACGCCAGCAATAGCAGCCATTGGGGGGGTGAACCAACAGAAGGAAGACCTTTCTCTCTGTCTCCCTCTCTCACTAACTCTGCCTGTCAAAAAAAAAAAAAAAAACACTACTACTGGCTACTCTGGGGTTTTGCCTCCCTTGGAATCCCCCTCCATGCTGCTCTGGCTGGAGGTCTTTGACTCTAATAAATCTGGCTTTTAAATCTCAAAAAAAAAAAAAAAAAACCACCCAGCAATAATGATAATAAACGACAATGAGGAGAATGAAGATGATGGTGGTGTTGACCTCCCAGGTTTGTGACAACTGAGAGGCCTCCCCCACCAGTCCAGGCTGCACAATAAGAGGAGGCCCTCAAGATGGACAGAGCTGGGTATCTTTTCATAAGGAGATAAGGACCCTAGAGAGGTCCTTGGAGCCTGCGATTGAGGGGTAGGCACTGCCGAAAAGAAGGAAATATGTCGTAAAATCAGAAGAAATCGTGAAGTTAAATCAAAGGCTCTGGATGTGAGCTTGCAGTGTGGGCGCATGCTGCACATTGCTTTGTCTGTAGATGGAAGTGCTTTGAACTGCTGGAATTACCAACTGATCCGGCCAACAAAGACTGGGCCTGGATGAAAAGGAAGGAACAGAAACTCCAGAGTTCCTTACTGAGTGGAGAAGGGCATCCTGGGACGAATTCCAGGAAGAATTTGCTCTGAGAGCAGGAGGATCCAGTGTGCTGGACGCCTCAGTGAAGTCAGGGCCTGCAGGTCCAGATGCTGCCCACACAGCCATGATGGGAGGAAGCAGTGGCCCTCATGCTCCCATGCTGCCTTGCCTGTCCTGCTGGAAGAACCCAGGCAAGGACTGTGATTTTGTGCATTGGTGGGTGTGCTGGAATCTGGGGCAGCCCCCTCCTCACTTCGTCTCCTTTCTCCTTGCTGCCATCTAAAAGGGTTGAATTCAGCCAGTGGAGACAGCAAAGGTCTGATGGTGGTCAACACCCATCTGAACTTCAGCTGTGCTCCCGATGGTGTGTGCACACAGGCAGTGATGGGAGTAACTACACCCAGTCTAATTCAAGGTGCCACACAGAAGGAAACCTGGATGGAAACCTGAGGTGTGCTGTCTCCCAGATCTGAGACTGTCTTAGGTTAATTCTCTAGGAAAGGGATTCTAAGGTTACTGGTGATGCTCTCAGGGGCAATAGCATGGGGTCTCAATGGGAGGCTTTGTCCATGCTGTAGGTGTGTAGGGCCTGCAGAGATGCCTGACCTCAGGGCAAGGGCCAGGTCTTGTACCCCTGCATTGCCCTTGGGTGAGAGGCGCTAGACTGGACAATATCCAGACCTGGATATGAGTTACTGTTGGCCCCCACCATCTCGGCAGTGTGAGGAAGGAGTGGATGGCACAAGGTGGGGTCTGAGCAGCATGCCTGAGGCCTCGGAGAGACCCTCTGCAGCAACATCCACTCCCGAGGCTCTCACCCTCGCCTGAAGCACAGAATGTCAGCTCCTTCTGATGTGGACGTAAGAAAGACATTCAGCCGTTTGGAGCCAGAAGACTTACCTGTTTCATAACCAGAAAACTCAGCCAACCAGAACTTCTGTATTTACCCAGCATTCAGCGTAATGTATCTATTCCAATTTCTTATATTTCCTGTTACAGTGAGGGCAAATTCAGAGAAGCCAATTCAGCTGTGCAATGGCGACAGAGCTTACGCACAGCAGGGTGCATGCCAGACGCCCCAGGTGCATGGAGAGAGAAGGGACCACTGCTGGTGAAGCATCTGGACGGTCCTACTACTCTTGACCTCACTCCATCTTCAGAAAGAGCCATAAAGGGCAGCTCCTCTAATGCCGCTTTTCAAAACAGCATATAAATGCAGTAAAAAGGAAAAATTCTCGATTATCACCAGAGGAAGTACAAATCACCCTATTCTCCAGAGTCCAATAATTTCTTGAAGAATTTTTAGTATATTTCCTTATGCATGTGTGTCTGTGTGTATGTGCACTTATCACATGTGTGTATGTCCTGAATTCACTGAGCATTTCTCTGTTCCTTATTCTTATCAGTCTATATGTCTTAGAGTTCTTTCAGATCTGACTAAACTCCCGTTCCATTCCACAGACCACAGAATGTGACTCAGAGAACTGAGTGACTTGTTCAGGGCCACTCTGCAAGCCAGCAGCAGAGATGGTTCCCACAATTCTGGCACGAAACCGAGGCAGCCCTCCTCTGCATTGCACACGTGCCCCTGAAATCCACGTCTGGCAGGCAACAGATGCTCGACAAAGGACCGCTTACTTTGGCAGAGGCATTAATTTAAGTCTTGCAGCGTCTCTATCAGCTGTGACTAAGCAGGAATGACTGCAGAAAGGGGCAACTAACAAAGGCATAAAATCCAGAAAGTACAAGGGCATGGTGGGTTCACTGCAAGCGGCCCCCAGAATCCTGTTTCCTGGTCCTGCTACCTGCTCCCAACTCCATTTCTTCTTCAGGAACTACTCAAGAAAGTAAGGAATCTATGATGTCAGTTATTTGTAAGACTCCCAACATCAAATGAAGTTTTCAGGAAAAATATAAAGGAAATTTTGCAGAATCTTCATAGGACTAATCCAATAAGATTATTGAGATAAGAAGACAAAACCCTAACACAAAGAGAAACCCTGAAAAATACACGCGTGGCTAGCGATTATTCTAAACAAAATGAACCAAGACACAGCCCCTCTTCTGCATACATTATTCAACAGAACACCTCTGAATGTGAGAAACTCCATGTCGCAGTGAGAAAGCCCACGCATCTCCACCAGAACTGATGGACGGAACTGAAGAGCCCACCACCATCTCCCCAGCACAGAGCAAGACACTTCCGCAGCCCTTTAATAATGAAACAGGAATCAAGTAGGGCAGGCAGACCACTAGGCTGTACCTGAACTTACATATGGAGGGCTCCAGGCCAGAGCCCAGCCCACAGCAGGTGCACAAAAAAAGACAGGTGTCTCTCAATTTCTGTGACTGGATTAAGTCCTGTGTAAGTGGGAAGATATTTGAATCATTGAAAGGGAGTGCACTACAGTGTCTGGAGCCTGGCTATAGAACAACTTGTCTTCATTTTGAGCTTGAAACTCAAGTCTGAGTTCTTGCTTTGTCATCTATTCCCAATGACATTTCAGACAGGCTCTTCCTCTCCTGCAAGCAGGTACAGCATCTATAAAGAAGGGATAGTCGTGATGGGCATCATAGGGTTGCTGTTATGGATTCAATGAGCTTGTGTGAAAGTCCCACAGTCCTAAAGTAGGGGGAGGTGAGGAGGCGTTGGGCCTTAAAGGCAGGCCTGTGTTCATCAAGTCTGTATCGTCACAGAGGTCACTCCGATGTGTTCACCTGTACTTCCATCCTCCTTGAACTCTGCTATGCCAGCTGTTTCAGGTCCAGAAACAGGTAACACACCACTTCCACCCTGAGGGTGTTCCAGGAGTGTTGGAGGGAGAGGCAGATAGGGAAATACCTGGTCTTACACTGACTTATACAAGGCTCAGGCATATGGGCAGTGCACCCTAAAAAGAACTTTTGCTTACTTAGGACACATTGATGGATGTCTATAGATTGTGAGACTGAAGAATTAATAGTGATCCACTTAGAACCCAAAAAATAAATTGTGATGTCGTTCAAGTCTGTCGGGAGCTCTGCAGTCAAATTAGCCTGCACACAGGCCGGCCTGCACTGACAGGGTACAGAGTTCCCTTCGTATAAGAAGCACCAGCTTCCCGACATGGAAAGGAGGGATAACAGCCAAGCAAAAGTGCTCAGGAGAATGCCTGGTGTCTACCAGCACTAAAGAACTTGCAGGTGCTAGTTAAGAAGTTTCACTTCTTCCTTCATTTATTACCCAACAGAGAATACAGAAATCAGACATAGCTAAGCTTATCGTCAACTCTTGCCTTTATATAAATGCCAGTCAAATCCACATCTCTAAGTATAAACCCTGCCTAGATCTATTTCCCAAACTTGTGGCTGGACATCCTGCCTCAAGTCACAAAGCGTTTTAACTGGAGCCTTGTACCATTCCCCTCCCTAGATCCTTCTCTTCTCTCTGGGCTCCATGAAGGGACCCAGCTTTGCCCAATGTCCAAGAAAGGAAGGGAGCTCTCCTGGCCTCCAAATCTCCTCAAGAATGAGTTTTAGCTTCTTAGGGTTGCAACCTCCACAATTCTCTTCTCTCTGCCCTACTTGGAGTCATCTACACTGCTTACTTGGATTATTAAAAACAGCCTTCTAACAAGTCTCCTTGTCTTTGCCCTGCCTTCCATCTGCGGTACCGCCTGTGCAGGTTGGTTTATATGGTCTACATCGCTACAAGG